CTCTCACATACATAAATAAATAAAATTAAAAAAAAAAATCAAGCTGGGCATGGTGGTGACTGTCTGCAATCCCAGCATTTGGGACGTTGAGGCAGGATTGCTGAGTTCGAGGCCAGCCTGCGCTACACAGTGACTTCAAGGCCAGCATGGACTACACAGCAATTTGAAAATCATGTGTAAGCCAGTATATCTGTAATGTGGCCCCCAATTGTCTGACTTTACTGCTCTGGGTGCCACATTCATTAAGGTGCTTCTATAACAATATAATAGGATAAGTTATGTAAATATTATGTAACACACGTGAACTATATTACATTAATACCTAATAGTTTAATGTGTGTATCCCCCAAAGGTCCGTGTGGTAAAGACTTGTTCCTCAGGGTAGCATCGGTGGCAAGTGTTGTGGACCTTGGGAGGCTGGATGTTAAGGGAGGTTATTAGGTTATTGGATTGTTGGACCCTGGCCCAGCCATCCTTTCTTACTTCCTGGCAGTGAAATGAGCAGTTTGCTCTGCATTCCAGTTGTGTGGCTATTCCATTATTTAACCAGACTCTCGTTAATGGTAAAGATTCCTCTACTCTTGTGCTATTCATAACACAACTGCCCATATGTATGCCATTTCCACAGTAGACACATTTCCATAAAATAGATTCCTTGAGTCAGACACAGTGGCTCATGCCTATAAATCCTAGCTTTTCAGGAAGCTAAGACAGAACGATCACTGTGAGTTCAAGGCCAGCCTGGACTACATACTGAGACCCTGTCTCAATCCCCACCTTAATCATGACGGGCAACAGGATGCCTATAACCTTAAGGATATATAAGATTATTTCTGCTGTTACAGTTTTTCAACTGAGAATAAACAGGGGATTTGTGGGAAATCATGTTTATAATGCCCAGAGTAGCTAATGCTGTTTCAGCCTCATAGAATTGAGTGAGGTCTGCTGAGGAATGTATCCTGGTATCCTTGTCTCCTTCAGGCACTCCAGGAAGCTCACCGGGTCCTGAAGCCAGGAGGACGGTTTCTGTGTCTGGAGTTTAGCCAAGTAAACAATCCCCTCATATCCAGGTTGGCATTGATAATGGGGTTTGATCTTCACTGACTAGCCACGAGAGTTAGTTCAGGGTCACAGAGGCCCTCAAGGACATTGCTGTCCAAAAAGGTCAGTTAGTTATGAGTGACAGTACTTAGGCTAGAAGTAATCAGTAACCAGAGGCCAAGTTCAACAACAGTACATATTTTAGTTACTCATACAGTATTTTAAGAAATCAACTTAAAGGGTCAAGGATATAGCTTAGGGGTAGAGTGCTTGCCTAGCTTACACTTATTCAGTCCCTAGCACCACTAGGGAAGAAAGGGAGGGAGTGGGGAAGAATGAAGGAACAGAAAAGAAAATAATTTGATTTCTTTTTTTTAATGCTAGCAAAGTTGTACTAAAGGTAGGAAAAGAAACAGGCTCTGCAGAGCAATTTTGGGCCAAATAAAAGTAGAGAAAAAAATATAATATACTCTACAACATGAGGGTGGGCCACTGTGAGAGAGCACTGAGAAAGCACAGTGGTCAAGAAATTTATTTAAAAATCAGGAAATTGGGCCAGCAAGATAGCTCAGCAGTCTAAAGTGCCTGCTTAGGCAAGCATAGCAGGCGCAGGGGATCACGGTTGGATCCTCGGCACCACAGGCCACACCAGCTCCGCCCTCAGGGCAGGCTGGGCCAGCCCAAATAAAATAAAATCAGGAAATTTTTACGTAAAAATCTGGATTTCCAGCCATGTATTGTGATAGATGCCTGTAATCCCAGCATTCAGGAGGCTAAGGCAGGGGGGTTGCCACAAGTTCAAGGCCAGCCTGGACTACATAATGTAGCAAGACCCTGCCTCAAGACCAAAACTGAGCAAAACAACAACAAAAAGTTGTGGCAGTCCTCCTGCCTCTGCCTCCCAAGTGCTGGGGTTATAGTCATGTGCCACCATGCCCAGCTTCCTTGCTTTATATTGAGAGAAGAGTTCAGGGCTTTGGGGGAAGGGGAAATGAACTCAGGGCATGTTTCAGTCTTAATCTTTTACCTTTTTTGTCATTTGTTTACATAGGCTTTATGATCTATATAGCTTCCAGGTCATTCCTGTCCTCGGAGAGGTCGTTGCAGGAGACTGGAAGTCCTATCAATACCTTGTAGAGAGTATCCGAAAGTTCCCATCTCAGGTATAGTATTTCTGTAGCTTGATAAAGATCTTAAAGTAGAAATCCAGATAATCCTTATTGTATCTTTCATTGTATTTTAGGAAGAATTCAAGGAGATGATAGAAGATGCAGGTTTTCAGAAAGTGACTTACGAAAGCCTTACTTCAGGCATTGTGGCCATTCATTCAGCCTTCAAACTTTAGCTCCTTTTCCTATCCTGGAGAAAGATCCAGACATACACTGTTAAAACCCGGAACTGAAGGATAACCTGACTGGTGACACAGCAGCTGAGCAGCTCCTGTTAAGGGTATGAATCATGGGCTCATGTTCTGAAGCAACCAAAAGAAAAGAAACAAATTTCTATAATGTTTTATAACTTGCATTAGGAGCTGCTCAGATCTTTCCTCAGAGGTATTTGATCTTTTGGGGTTATTATTTTGTTTTTCTTCAACTCCTAACTTCTTTTGGCTGTGCACTGTGGGTTTCAGGTAAGAGGAGCACCAACACCTAGGTATTTTGTCAGGGAGGTGCCAGAAATCAAACTCAGGACCTTGCGCATGCCAGGCAGGCGCTTGTGCCACTGAACTATATCCCCAACCTTATCACACACTTTTGAAGTACAATATATCTTTATTAACGGTGCAGCCTTCCAAAGCAGTAATTTCACTGGGTCATTTGAAACCAGTGATGACTTACCTGTATTTGAGCCAAACTTTCACCCTGATTGAGGGCTTGAGAGCCAAGGTGTAAGTCAGAGGTTTGACAACATTCAAACTGTGGGCTCAGAGGTAGGGCATATGCTTAGCGTACAAGAGGTCTTGGGTTCAATCTTCAGCTGTGTGTGCATGTACACACCCTGGAAATGTATGCTGAATCAGTAAATGAGTTACAGTTTGGATGGTATTTGTCATTGCTTTCTTATGGGGGTTAAAGGGAAAACATTTTTTTTCAGAACTGGGGATTGAACTCAGGTCCTTGGGCTTGCCAGGCAAGTGCTTATTCAACTGAGCCATCTCCCCGGCCCCCGGGAAAACATTTTTAATGGTTCTGTAACTCAAACCCAGAGCCTCTCCTAAGCCCTGTACCACCCACAGAGCTATATCCCTAGCCTCAAGATACATTTTTCCATTATGCTCTTCAATCAAGTGCCACTATTTCCTTCTTAGTGGCAGTCATGAAGAAAACATTCATTAAATCCTTGTTTATAAAATAAATATAGGGGGCCAGGGTGGTAGCTCAATAGAATAAGCACTTGCCTGGCAAGCACAAGGATCCTGAGTTCAATCCCTGGTCC